AATCGAGTCCAACTGAGGTTCTACCACTACACACAGACATGCTTAACTCCTCCTGTCTTTATTCACAGCATCACTATATATATGTGATACCAGTTAGGATCTGAAGATAAAAAGAACATGTACAGTATATTATTTGTAGGAGATATAACATAAGGCCGACACTGCTCTCAATATCTCAATGATTGCAATTACTTTTCTGCATATGTATTAGGTTGTTTATGGCAGTTCTTTTTTGAAGATGGAAGAAAACCAGTATAACACTGTACTGCAAACCACCATATATTTACTGTCAGTATGACCAGCACTTGCATTACAGTAACATGTTTTCCAGTTTACTTCATATGAAATGAAGACTTATAGTACTGTGAAAAGGTTTAAGCCTATCTATGAAACAATATCATCAGGGATGCATCCGATGAGTCCCAAATTCATTCTGAAGACATGCCAACATACCCAAAAATACAGTCAGAGTCATAAAGAACTATCATCAGCAAAAAGAGGAACAAGGAGTCCTAAAGTCCATGAAGATGGTATAACATTGCTTTACTCTTACTTTAAGTACCTTAAACTTTGCACAGTGCTGTATAGGGAACTGTATAATTGTGACACATAAATCTTTAACTCTTTTCTTTTACCATTAAAAAAGATCCTATGCCGTGTACTGCTGCTGTGACTTTGCTGGAAGTGGCTAAGGTGTACCTGACTGTTTATTCACTGCCAAATTCTCTGAATTTGACCGTGTACTCCAGTGTTGACAAAAGATAACACAGGGTCTCATTTTCAGTCAAATTTATTTTAAGATGCGGCTCACTTCTTTCAAAGGTCGCACTGGGCTGGGTGTGACTGCAAAACTGTAAACAGCTTATGCACAAACAAGTCTCTCACTGTAAAAATTGTGCACAGACATAATCTCCATAATACTGTCACTGTAACATTTATCTGCAGGTCTGTCACTAGCCCATCTCACGAGGCAGAGACTTCTAATCTATCAAATGTGTCGACCCACACTGACTCTGAGACACACACATCATCCCTGGACCCCCTTTTCACACTTCGAGTCTTTCTCATTTTTCTCCTCTGGCACATTTGAAGTGTAATCGCCACAGACAGCTGCTTAAATCAGGTAGATCACCGGTTAGCCTGATTATGTGCTGGGGACTTCTGACTAAAATTCATCAGTGTATATTTCAGTTGAAATATGATATCCTCATCATTTACAAAAAAATAGCTATCAAGCAATCAAATAGTGCTACCAAACGGTTTATATAGGTAGGACTTTCTGATGATGCAAACTATCAAACTGTGCTGACTCTGAGACACACCTGTCATCCCTGAACCCCTTTTTTACAGTTTTGAGTTTATTTTTTCCTTTGGTGCATTTGAAGTGTAATCACAACAGACAGCTGCTGAAATCATGCAGATCACCTGTTGGCCTGTTTATGTGTTGGAAAGTTTTCACTTGAATCTCGTCTGATGGATCAGACTCCTGGTGTCACTTTCTGGTTTTACTTCCCCCCATTCAAGACAGGCAAATGAATACAATAAATAAATCAGAACATATAAACACTGCTGATTTCTTGCTGATGAGCCTACATGAAAACTATTACATCTGTGCATCTGTCCATTACATTTGTGCTGTCGGTCAGCCTGGTGAGACAGCGCTGTCCTCCTGCTGACAGACAGCTGTTCTGATAAAAGACGCTGCACGGAGGTTGGAGTCAGTGTGGACTGAATGGACTCAAACAAGCCGCGCAGCTCACATTTAGTGAAGTCCCAGTTTGACGTTAGTAGAGGCTGAAACCCACCATCAATCCTTCTTTATGTAGTAGGCTACCGGTAGCTTTAGCCCAGAAATCAGCTGGCACTTATCCAGCCAAGTGAACGAGCTGAGCTGTGCATGAAGTCCAACACGGACATCGCCAAAGAGCAAAAATTCTTCTTCAGAAGAAAAAAGAGCTACAAATAAATCACATACACAAACGGCAAAGAATGTGCACAATTCATTGGTTTATGCTTCAATGGAAGTATTGGGGCGGCTGTGGCTCAAGAGGTAGAGCGGGTCGTTTCCTAACCGGAGGATTAGCGGTTCGATTCCCGGCTTGTCCAGTCGAAGTGTCCTTGAGCAAGACACTGAATCCCCGGTTGCTCCCGGTGATGTCACCGGTGTGTGAATGTGTGAGCGTTTGGGAGTGCGAATGTGTGAATGGCCAAATAGTGTGAAAGCGCTTTGAGTGTGCTGTAAAGCATAGAAAGGCGCTATACAAGTATAAGACCATTTCCCAGGTATAACAGCCTAATCGTCATCATCAGTGTCATTATTACCATCATGTTGACTGCTAGGCTCTAGAGCACTACAGTGACTAGATAAAAAGAGGTGGAAACCTGTTCCAGAAGTGATTTTCCCATTTATTGTGTTCCATAAGTCTCTCTCTCTCTCTCTCTCTGAATTTCATTATAAATACAGGATGGATAGTAAGGGTATTTAAAATAATTGTAAAAAAAACAAAACATTCTTTTGTATTATGTTGTAAACAGAGGTCTGTGTAAATGGAACAGCATTTCATAGAGTAATTGGTGGTTAGTCTAAATTACTGTTCTGAAAAGCAAAATACATTTCTAAAGCCAATCTAAACTGAAAATGAGCAATATCCTTAAACACACACATACACGCTATGCCTGTTCTGCCTGGCTAATGAAAATTTTTGTTTCTTTGCTACGATCTGCTCGACAGCTGTAACACAGATGGACACAGAATTACATTATATTCTCTGCAATAACATCCCATTGTGTTACAGAATGTTAAGAGCATAAAAAAGGGAAGTCTGGAGTACAATAAATGTAATGAGTGTGTGTCTGTAATGACAGAGAATGAAGCAGAGAGTTGTTGGAGCCCCTTGTGGTTTCCTCCAATATGGTGAACTAAAGACCCTAGAGTTTCTGCAGAGGCAGGCTGTAGCTGAGACCGCAGGAAGGAAGGAATTTATGTTTGGAAATTAACTATAGACACACACCAGTTCATACTCTGTGGGACATCCATGCACAGCCAAAGGCATCTCGCCATGTCTTTGCCCGTATACAGCACATATCACTAGCTGTACTCACTCTCGACTGCTTTGCCTGCCCTCATTCCCTCTGATAGGATGTTCTTCTCAAGTGAAAAGACAACTGGGTGTTTTTGCCCTTTTTCACTTTCTTCCTCCTCTAATCTTCCTCCCCATCTACATTCTCTTTCTCC